ATTGGAGATGAAAGTCTCATGGACTTTCCAGCGGGTTGGCTTTGAACCATGGACCTTTAAATCTCACCTTCCTGGGTTATGAGTCACCGCTCAAATTTCAAATTTTTACAAGCTTCTTCCAACTTTTGCATGAATCTTTGCCATTGGTATCTTCACGGTGACTGTAGCTCCTTGCCTGTCATTTCATAGTTTCCCAGGTGAGATTATGTCCCTTTTAAATTTTTTTGCCAGTCCTGAAGCTTAAACTCAGAGCCTGGGTGCTGTCCCGGCTAATTGGAGATAACCTCATAGAGGGAGGGGCTGAGAATGTAGCTTATGGTAGAGTGCTTACCTAGCAAGCGTGAAGCCCTGTATTTGATTCCTTAGTATCACATAAACAGAAAAAGTTGAATGTGGTGCTGTGGCTCAAGTGGTAGAGTTCTAGCTTTGAGTAAAAGAAGCTCAGGGACAGTGCCCAAGCCCTGAGTTCAAACCCCAGGACTTACACAAAAAAAAAAAAAGAATCTCATGGACTTTCCTGCTGACTTTGAACTATGATCCTCAGATAGCCTGAGACGCTAGGTTTATAGGCATTCCCCGCCAGTGCCCCACCCAGATCTCAGACTTTGAGTAGCTAGGATTACAGCTAAGAGCCACCAAGCACCCAGCTCTTCATGCTCACTTAGCCTATAGTTTTTCTCTTTGTTTCTTCTCTCTTAGAACTGACTTGAAGAAACCAGGCTGTCTGCTTGCAGTAATATGCCCTATTATCGAATTTGTTGATCTATAATCTAAAGTGGTGACTGAAATAGAATATTTCTCTTTGTGAGTTACGAGTGTGCACAAACACACTATTTTTTTTTTTTTTTGTCGGTCGTGGGGCTTGAACTCTGGGCCTGGGCGCTGTCCCTCAGCTCTTCAGCTCAAGGCGAGCGCTCTACCACTTGAGCTACAGCGCCACTTCCGGTTTTCTGGTGGTTTATTAGAGATAGGAGTCTCACAGTCTTTCCTGCCGGGGCTGGCTTTGAACCGCGATCCTCAGATCTCAGCCTCCTGAGTAGCTAGGATTACAGGGGTGAGCCACCAGTGCCTGGCTAAACATACTATTTTTTTTAGGAAACTTTTCAAGCATACACAAGAGAGGTGTACAATAAATCCTCATATACCTGTATTATTTTCTTTCAAGTGCTCTAATGAATGACTGCAGACTTATAGTTTACCACTACATACATTCGTTCTCTGACAGTTCTGGAGACCAGAAATCCAAAATCACTGGGCCAAAACAACGGTAGCCCAGCAGGGCCATACTTCCTTTCAAATCTCCCTCCTGAAGACCTAGGGCTGAATATAGTCCTTGCTTTTTCTGGTAGCTGCTGGAATTCCTGGCTTGAGGGAGCTTCTCTGCCTCTGTGGCCACACTGCCTTCTCCTCTCCTGTCTGTGTTCAAATCTCCCTCTGCCTCCCTCTCAGATGCTTGTGATTGTTTGTATTAAGGGCCCCTTGGATAATCTTCCATTCAAGATCATGACTTTAATCATATCTGCAAAATCTTTGCCATACAAGGCGATGGTTCTGGGGAAATCGGACCTTCTACCTTTTTTTTTTTGGTGGTTGTGGGGCTTGAACTCTGGGCCTGGGCACTGTCCCTTAGCTCTTCAGCTCAAGGCATGCACTCTACCACTTGAGCCACAGGGCCACTTCCGGTTTTCTGGTGGTTAATTGGAGATATGAATCTCATGGACTTTCCTGCCCAGGCTGGCTTTGAACTGCAATCCTCAGATCTCAGCCTTCTGAGTAGCTAGGATTTACAGGTGTGAGCCACCAGGGCCCAATCGGACCTTCTACCATTGAGGACACTCTTCAGCCTAGAGCAATACCGTCCCACAGTCCAGAATTACCAATATTTGGCCATACTACTGCTCATCTCTGTGCCCTCCTTTTTCCCCTTCCCTCCCAAACTCTCTCCCTCCCTCCTTTCCTCCCACGTCCCTTCCTCTCCCTGTACCCTCAAGCAGGGTCATAGACCCAAAGGAATAGGGTGGCGGTCAGGGGAGGACCATGTGACAGGAACTGTGGCCTGGGTTTATCCTCAGTGACCTGGCAGGGAATGAAGATCCCTCTCTCTTCTTCTTCTTCCTTCCTGCCATGCTTCTCCAGTGCCTTCGGCTGTCAGAGCCAACCAGATGCAAGAGAACATTTATGTAGCCCATACAGCCAGCCTCCAGGGACGTCTGGGGTGGAAAAGGGCGGTGGGCTGGGGAGACAAGTTTGAGAAATTTTGTGAAATTGGAATATGGACAGGATCTTAGATGAATCTAATGCATTAGTATTAATTCTATTAAGTGATAGTGGTGTTGTGGTAAGATAATATCTCTATATGGAAATCTTTAGGGATGAAATAACACATATTTACTTTATAATACTACTCAAGGCTGGAATGTGGCCTAGTGGTAGAGTGCTTGCTTGCCTTTTATGTGTGAAGCCTTGGGTTTATTTCCTCAGTACCACATAAACAAAAAAAGCTGGAAGTGATGCTATGCCTCAAGTTGTAGAGTGCTAACCTTGAGCAAAAAGAAGCTCAAGGACAGTGCCTAGGCCCTGAGTTCAGGCCCCAGGACTGGCAAGGAAAAAAAATACTGCAGCAAAAGAAGAGGGTGAGGGGTGTAGCTCAGTGGTAAAACACATGCCCAGCGCGCTCAAGGCTCTAGTAAAAGATTCTCATCTCCAAAGGAACTAGCAAAAAGCTAGACTTGAGGCATGGCTTGAGTGATAGAGCATACACAGAGACACATATACACCCTAGGACATCTGGTTCAAGATCTAGGCTGGGTATAGATGGGCATAACACCCTGAGTTTGCTTCTCACAAAGGAAAAAAATATCCAGGACTCTGTGGCTTGGTCAGTTTTCCAATAGCCCTTTATGTCCACACAGGTAACAACTGCCACTTGGTAGGTCTGGGCCTAAGTGCTCTCCCTTTTGCTCTTTTTGCTCAAGGCTAGCACTCTACCATTTGACCCACAGTTCCACTTCTGACTTTTTCTGTGATTAACTGGAGATAAGAGTCTCATGGACTTTTCCTGCCCAGGCTGGTTTTGAACCTTGATCCTCAAATCTTACCCTCTGAGTAGCTAGGATTACAGGTGTGAACTGCTGACAACTAGCCATGATGATTTTTTTTTCTTTTTTTGGTCGGTAGTGGGGCCTGAACACTGGGCCTGGGCACTGTCCCTGAGCTTTTCAGCTCAAGGCTAGTGTTCTACCACTTGAGCCACAGCGCCACTTCCGGCTTTTTCTGCTTATGTGGTGCTGAGGAATGGAGCCCAGGTCCTCATGCATGCCAGGAAAGCACTCTACCACTGAGCCACCTTCCCAGCTCCTATGATGATTATTTTACAAATGAAGAAACTAAGGTTGATTCTGTTTCTCTTGTGAAAATCAAACCTAGGGTGTTGTGTACACGAGGCAAGCACTTCACCATGAGCCCATCTAGGGTCAGCCTGGATCTTAAACCAACAGAGAGAGAGAGAGAGAGAGCGAGAGAGAGAGAATTTGAGTGTACTTGGTGCATACATATGAATGTGTGTGCTCTGAAAGAGCAAGAGTGTAAAGGTAATACGCACGCGTGCTTTGAGTGTGTCTGCCGGGTGTGACAGTTGAGGGGGAGATTCTGGGCTGGACTTCTTCAGGGCTGAATCACGTGTTGAAGGCACTCTGACTTCTGGGAGTCATTTTGGCTTTGCTAAAGGGCAGCACTGGGGCCTGGGCAGCAAGAACGGATGTCCCGGACATCCAAGGTAGAACTGAGGCTGGGCTCTGACTAAGGAGTCAGGAGCCCTCATTCTTGGCTCTGCTTTCTTTCTGTGTGTGTTTTGGTTGTGGGGCTTGAACTCTGGGCCTGGGGCTGTCCCTCAGCTCTTCAGCTCAAGGCAAACGCTCTACCATTTGAGCCACAGTGCGACTTCTGGTTTTCTGGTGGTTTTAGTGGAGATGAGAGTCTAATAGTCTTTCCTGTCAGGGCAAGCTTTGAACCGCAATCCTCAGATCTCAGCCTCCTGAGTAATTAGGATTACAGGTGTGCGCCACCAGTGCCTGGCCTGGCTCTGCTTTGTCCCTGCCTTGTTGGAGGATTGATGAGACTCAGCTTTCCTTTCTGTGTGGGAAGGGGTTAGATCAGTAAAGCTTGGGGGGCTTTTCCTTAGACAGTATCTACACAGGGCTGCTCAGGAAACGTGGGTTGGTTGGTTGAAACCAAGGCAAGGAGCCCTGGCTTACCTCTTTTCTTCCCTTGTGCACATAGAAGTCCTCATTCAACTCCCCCTCCTCCCACTCGGATCCACCTGTGCTCACCCCTTTGCCTGTTGTCCCGCACTCCTGAACTCACCATTGCCCAAGTCCAGTTCAGACATGGAGAAGCCCCCCGCCTCCTTCCCTGAGCCCCACAGCTCTGATCCCAGGGTTTCTCTGCCCAGATGCCTCTTGCTTCCCCCAGGATGCTCTGCCCAGCCATGCTGATGACCACAGCTGCCTCCTGCCAAGCCGTGGCCGCTCCCTGTCCTCCCCTCCTCCTCTCCCCTCTGTCCCCCCTACCTACAGACACACAAGCCACTGGCTGCCCGCCCCCCACATCCCTCTGGCACCTCTGATCTCTTGGGTTCCTCGTTTCTCTCATGCTGTACCCCCAGTTCCCACCCATCAGGGTTTTTCCCTCCATCTCTCTCCCTGCCCTCTTCTCTCCTTCCTCACTCCCTCCCGCCCTCCTCCCAACACCACTGACTCATCTTGGCCACTCATTACTTCTCTCTGGTGTGGTGTCCATCCTGAGTATACCTTCTGGAACTTTCCAGCTTTCTCTCTCCCTACAGCCACTGCCCACACCCCCTCCCACTTCTCCCCTGCGCAGTTTCCAGAGCTGGGCTCTGCTTGGAGGTTCCTGTAGCACCCGCTGGAGGGGTCCCCCCCCCCCCCCCCCGTCACTGCGTTTCCTCCCCGGGTGACTTGGCAGTGATACAGTTTTCTCACTTCTGCAATTGCCAGACAGAGGCGCGGAAGCTAGGGCTGGGACCCAGGCGTGGAGAGACACCCAGACCCCACTGCTGAGCCAGGTAAGGGGGGGAGGGCCCAGCCATGGCTGGCAAGGGGGAGCTTATACAGATGCCCCCAGGCTGAGTCTCAGCTAGAGGGGGTTTTGGGGGTTTTTTGGTTGGTTGTGGGGCTTGAACTCTGGGCCTAGGCGCTGTCCCTCTGCTCTACCACTTAAGCCACAGCACCACTTCTGGTTTTCTGGTGGTTCCTTGGAGATAAGAGTCTTATAACTTTCGTCCCGGGCTGGCTTTGAACCGTGATCCTCTGATCTCAGCCTTCTGAGTAGCTCGGATGACGGGTGAGCCACTGGTGCCCACTTGTGGTTTTTGTTTTTTATTTATTTTTTTGTCGGTTGGGGCCTGAACTCTGGGCCTGGGCACTGTCCTTCAGCTCTTCAGCTCAAGGCTCTACCACTTGAGCCACAGCGCCACTTCTGGCCTTTTCTGCTTGTGTGGTACTGAGGAATCAAACCCAGGGCCTCATGCATGCAAGGCACTGAGCCACCTTCCCAGCCCCTATGGTTTTGTTTTTAAGGAACTTTCTGGCACCTTTCTTGGGCCCAGTCTCATTGTCAGAAAGACTATCTGGTGACCAAGTTTGCAAGGGAGCCCAGCACCAGGCCAAGGCAGTGCTGGGGACCCGCAGAGGCTACCCGAGAGGCCATAGGAGGATGAGAAGCGACTTCTTAGCTCCCAGGGATTACTGCCATCTGCCCTACTATCTGTGTGATCTTGGGTAAGCTGAGCTCCCTCTCCGTGCAGTTTCCTAAAGGGTTAAATAGGATAATGCTAGCTCTCCAGCAGGACTGTGGGGGAGGTCAAGGGTACTTAAGAACTCACTAGCTGCGGGTCTCCGAGGATGAGGAATGAACCAAGTTATTAGCACAAAGAATGAGGTCCACAACCAGTGTCTCCGTAATGTCTCGAGCTGGGGACACAGCCCAGGCTGCCCTTCACTCTGGCCTTCACTGGCAGGAGGTTAGGTGTGGGGCTGCTGAATTGGAGCCACTGGCCAGGTACTTGCTCACCTGTGAAGAGTGAAGGAGCCAGCATGGCCCCTGCAAGCACCAAGCAGCTCTGACTCGATGCTTTAGCTGTGGCTGCGCTCTATGTGCTGAACGCCTGTGTATGGAAGCTGAGCAAGGTGACTGTCAGAGACGAGATGTCCTTATCTCTGTTAACAGATGGGTGACCCAACAGGGAAAGAAGTCAGTGCTGGAGCCGCTGGCCCTGGGCCCGCAGGACAGAGGTTTTGTTGTTTATTTTGAGACAAGATCTCATTCTGCAGACCAGGTTGGCTTTGAACTTGAAACCCTCCTGCTTTACTTTCCTGTGTGCTGGGCTTACAGGCTTGGCTTACTAGGGTTGTTTTGGTTTTCTCTCTTGCCTATAAGCCTGGGACCTTGGGTAAGTCAGGAGTCTCACGTTTCTCCTTTGTTGACTTGGAATTAAAATACTGACCTAGGGCTGGGAAGGTGGCTCAGTGGTAGAGTGCTTGCCTTGCATGCCTGAGACCCTGGGTTCGATTCCTCAGCACCACATAAGCAAAAAGAAAAAAAGCTAGAAGTGGCGCTGTGGCTCAAGTGGTAGAGTGCTAGCCTTAAGCTGAAGAGCTGAGGGACAGCGCCCAGGCCCAGAGTTCAGGCCCCATGACTGGACCCCCAAAAAAAAATTAAAAAAAAAAAAAAATACTGACCTAGCAGGGTGGTGGTGTCGCATGCCTGTAATCCTAGCTAATCAGGAGGCTGAGATCCCAGTTCAAAGCCAACCTGGGTAGGAAAGTCCATGAGTCTCATCTCCAATGAACCACCAAAAAGCCAGACATGGAGCTATGGCTCAAGTAGTAGAGCACTAGCCTTAAGAAAAAAAGCTCAGGGACAGTGCCCTGGTCCTGAGTTTAAGACCAAGGACTGACACACACAAAAATAAAACAATCCTTGCCTTGTGGGTCTGTAGTGGGAAGTGTTTTGTTCATAGTAAAATGGTGTATCAACACAAGCAGCATGGTACTAATACACAGTAATTCATACCATTTTTTCCTTCCTTCCTTCCTTCCTTCCTTCCTTCTTTCCTTCCTTCCTTCCTTCCTTCCTTCCTTCTTTCCTTCCTTCCTTCCTTCCTTCCTTCCTTCCTTCCTTCCTTCCTTCCTTCCTTCCTTCCTTCCTTCCTTCCTTTCTCATTCCTCTTTCTTCCTTTTCCTTTTTTTGTGTGCCAGTACTGGGGCTTGAGCTCCTGGCCTGGGCACTGTCTTTTAGTGCATTCAAAGCTAGTGCTCTACCACTTGAAGCCACAGCTCTATTTCTGATGTGTTCCGTGAAGGATCTGCAGTCCACGGCATTAACAAAATGTACCCCCAGGTCTGAGTAGTGTTGGGGTGGGAGGGGCCTGATCAGAGGCAGGGGTATCATCAGTTAGTTCTGAGACCTCTCCCACCACTGGCTCTATTGGAGAGGAGGCTGTTCTTATTTTTGGGGGGGCAAGACACTTTCCTTTTCTGTACTGGGAACCCCCTAGTGAGTGGAGAAGTGGACCCAGGAAAGGCAAGAGCTAAGGTGGCCTCGGAACGCTTCTGGGGATGGGCGTGGAGCCAGGGCTGGAGGGCAATGCTGGTCCCTGCATACCGGCCTCTCCTATCAGCCTCTCTTGAGTCAATGTCCTCAGCAGCTTGATGAGAGCGGAGAAGCCTCTGTTTCTACATGCACACACACACACACACACACACACACACACACACACAATGTGTGTGGGTGTCACTCCCCCCCCCCCCCCAGGCAGTGTCACAGGCAAAGACAGCTGAGAAGGATGGGGAACTACAGCCAGGTGCACGCACACGTGTGTGTGTGTGTGTGTGCGTGTGTGTGTGTGTGTGTGAGAGAGAGAGAGAGAGAGAGAGTAAGGCAGAATACCTGGGGAAAGAGCATCCTCACTCCCTTAGTTCGATAGCAGAGGGCCCCTCAATGCCTAAGTGTTAGATTGAATTCACTTGGCTCATGTGGGAAGAATGTAAAAGAAATTGTGCCAGTCTCTCTCTTTCTCTTTCTCTTTCTTTCTCTCTGTCTCTCTGTCTCTCTCTCTTTTTCTACCTAGGTGCTGTCCCTTAGCTTTTCTCTTCAAGCCTGGTACAACTTGAGCCACAGCTCTACCTCAGAGTTCTTCCGGTTGTTGGAGCCAGGGTCTCATGGCTTTGTCTATAAGGGCTCGTAGTTTCCAGCCTCATTCCTTAGCTCTGCAGCCTCTAGCCAGGCTTCTCGTGTGAGCCACAGTGCCTCTTGAGGAGCATTTTCTGGGGGCTGTGGGGAGGATGGCTTCACTGTCACCAGTGTGACCCCTGACTTTTTTTTTTTTGGTCTGGTCGTAGGGCCTGAACTCTGGGCATGGGCACTGTCTCTCAGCTCTTCAGCTCAAGGCTAGCGCTCTACTACTTGCCACAGCGCCACTTCCGGCTTTTTTTCTTTTTGCTTATGTGGTGCTGAGGACTCGAACCCAGGGCCTCATGCATATAAGGCAAGTACTCTACCACTGAGCCACCTTCCCAGCCCATCAGTGAGACTGTTATCTCCAATGAACCAGCAAGAAACTTGAAATAGAGGGTGGCTCAAGAGGAGAAGTGCCAGCCTTAAGGGATAAAGCTAAAGGAGAGTTCAAGGCCCTGAGTTCAAGTCTCAGTATTGACAAGAAACCTCTACCAGCACTCTGAAAGATGTGACCATGTCCAAATTAGAGATGAAAAAAGGGTAGCACCTTGATTCCTAGGAAGTTCCTCCCCTTCCGGTGACAGCTTGAGGCAACAGCCATATCCCACGCCCTCAGGATCCAGTCCAACGCCCCAGGCTGCTGGGGACCAAGGTCCATTAATAACTGGCGCATGGACTGGGAAGGGGGTGCAGTGGCAGAGCGCTTGCCTTGCATGCATGAGGCCCTGATAAGCAAAAAGAAAAAAAGCCGGAAGTGGTGCTGTGGCTCAAGTGGTAGAGCGCTAGCTTGAGCTGAAGAGCTGAGGGACAGCGCCCAGGCCCAGAGTTCAGGCCCACTACCGGACCCCCCCCCCCAAAAAAAAAAAAAAAAAAAAAAAAGAACTGGAGTTCAGCTGGGAGCCGGTGGCTCACACCTGTAATTCTAGCTCCTCAGGAGGCTGAGATCTGAGGATCGAGGTTCAAAGCCAGCCTGGGCAGGAAAGTCTGTGAGACTTATCTCCAATTAACCACTAGAAAACTGGAAGTGGTGCTGTGGCTCAAGCGGTAGAGGACTAGCCTTGAGCTGAAGAGCTGAGGGACAGCGCCCAGGCCCAGAGTTCAAGTCCCACAACCGACAAAAAAAAAAAAGCAAGAACTGGAGCTCACCTGCTCCATTCATCAGCCACCACATGCAATATCCCATCTGTTCCTACAACTGCCTTGTTATTTGTGATGGGATTAGGAGAAGATCTGGCAATGCCACTTGTGGGGAAGGTTTTGTTGTCACTGCTTTCCAGATAAGGGAAAGGAGTCGGGTGAGCCAAGGAACAGGCAGCTTGAAAGAAGCAGAGCTGGGGCCAGAGCCAAGGGTACTGGCTCCAGGGCCAGTGTCTGAGGTCCTATGTCCTCCCCTGGGCCAGGCCCTGGGCTGCCTTCCAGGGCACCGGCAGGACCCAGGGCTCCCAAGTAGGGAAGAAGTCCATGCAGTTCCTGGTAGAGCAGAGGCCCGTGCCAGTGCCGGGGCAGGGAGGCCCTGAGAAGCAGGTGCTCCTCACTCCTCCCCTGCCCAGGCCCAACCACAGGGGATGCCTCGGGTCCATCAGTATAATATACATATCAGGGGGCAAGGTAGAGTTCCCAGTAATGAGGAAAACTGGGGAGCTCTTGTCTCAAGCCAACCTCATTTCTGGGGGCACTAGAGTCTCCCCAAAGGTTTCCATTCACGCATCAATGAATATGACCAGCATGGTGATGGATTCTGTACTGGCAACTGTGGGTGACCTTGCAGAATTCCCCCAAGGACAGGTTACCAGCTCCCTTTGTTTGTCCATCAGTTCCTCTCCCATCTGGGAGAAATAGTAACGAACCTAGTATATGATGGATTGTGGAGGGGTGGGGGTGGTGCCCGCATGCCAGTACTAGGACTTGAACTAAGGGCTTCATATTCTTGATTAGCTTTTTCGATCAAGGCTAGTACTCTGTCACTTGAGCCACAGCTCCACTTCTAGCTTTCTGTTGTTTAGTTGGAGTTGTTTCTTGGATTTATCTGCCTGGGCTTGCTTTAAACTGCAATCCTCAGATCTCCTCCTGAGAGTAGCTAGGATTACAGGCATGAGCCACAGGTGCCTGGCAGGATGAGGGATCTCAAGAGTGTGTGGCACAAGTGGGAAACGACAAGCGTCAAAATAGGAGATAAAAATGAACTACACGGGCTGGGAAGGTGGCTCAGTGGTAGAGCGCTTGCCTTGCATGCATGAGGCCCTGGGTTCGATTCCTTAGCACCACATAAGCAAAAAGAAAAAAGCCGGAAGTGGCGCTGTGACTCAAGTGGTAGAGCGCTAGTCTTGAGCTGTAGAGCTGAAGGACAGCGCCCAGGCTCAGAGTTCAGACTCCACGACCGGACCAAAAAAAAAAAAAAAAAAAATGAACTACACAACTTATAGATGTGGATAGGAGGGAAAAACTGGGAGAAAGCAAGGGAAGGGGTTGACATTGTCCACAAAGAAATGTACTCTTTACCTGACTTACGTAACTGAAACCCCTCTGTACATCACCTTTATAATAACATTTTTTTTAAAGAATAGGAGATAACATTTATTGATCAGCTACTGCATGCCAAGTTCTTTAGAGGTTTATCTGTCTCAGGTCTATCCTGTGAGGTCAGTGATGATACTTTTCCCATTATATTTATAGGTGAGGAAAATGGGCTAGCTCTCAGGACTCCAGCTCTCAGTTGCTGGGTGAGGCTAATTTATCTACTCAGGGTACATTTCTTCTGTATTTGCTGTGAAGGAAGTCCTGTAATGGGCATTAGTGATTTGCTGATACCTTGTCTCGGGGGAGTCCTCTCCAGGAGGGGAGAAGTGGGCTGGGGGTGTAGCTCAGAGGTAAATTGCTGGCAGGTTTTTTTGTCTTTTGTTTGCCAGTCCTGGGCCTTGAACTCTGGGCCTGGGCGCTGTCCCTGGCTTCGATGCTGGGTGAGGTATTGTGCTATGGGCACCTGGGTGGCACCCCTGATTTTCCCCGGGGGAGAGGAGTAATATTAACAGTAGCCAATACTCACTGAACTCTCACTATAGACCAGGCATATTTTGTGGTTTGTTTTTGTGTTTTTGAGATAAAGTCTTGCCCAGGCTGGCTTTGAACTTACCATCCTTGTGTCTCGACCTCTTGAGTGCTCGGATTCCAGGCCTGAGCTAGTCTTGGACTGCAGGAAGAGGTGCTCATGTGGCCCTGTGTGCGTTCTACTCACCCCCAACTGCTGGCCCAGGCTCTGAGGGTTTGTGGGATTGGCAAGGTGCTGCTGGGTGGACACGTGGCTGAACTTGCATGTAGGTCTGACTTATAGCTTATAAATCTTTAGACATTCCTACTTTTGATTTCAGCTGTCCCCACAAATGTCAGGGGATGGCCCGCTGATGAACCCAACTTCCCTATCCAGTCTCCATGCTTTCTCCTGTTACTGGCTCTCCAACCTGTGGCCCCGCCCACCAAGCCATGACCACGCCCCTCCAGCCAGTGGTCCCTCCCCCTACTGGCCAGCGTTCTCCCTCCAGCCTCCCGCAGGGGTTGGGGACAGTTCTCAAGGGAGATGGGACTGAACATTCCCTCCATAGGACAGTGGTGGGAGCTCAGAGGGCAGAAGACTCTAATTCTATGAATATCTATGGCCCTGCCTCACCCCCAGCCAAGGGCTGGGCCTGGGCCAGCTCCCCGGCTTTGATCCATCTGGGAACTGTGCCCATCCGAGCAGCCTCCTCCTCCCTTCAAATACTCATCCTCTCCTGACTTTTGAAAGCTTTGTTGGCAGTGGCCAGAGGCAGAGTCTGGAGCTGGTGGGAGAGGCAGCTCAGGATCCGTGCTACTCATAATACAGTCCTCTGGCTCCAAACAACAGGGGTCATGGGGGTAAGAAGGACCGGCCTCATCTTTGGGACCATTGTTAGGACCGTAGGGTTTTACAAATGAAGAAACAGGATTCAGAGAAGTGAAGTGAACTTGCTCAATGTCACACAGGAAATAAATGATCCAGTTCTGAACCCAGGTCTTTGTGACTTCAGAAGCCTCCTTGCTCTTCCCACCCATTCTACCCTCGGGTGCCTTTTCCAGATATATAGGCACCCTTCCTCCATGCCAGGCTTCTGGGAATGGTTGTCAGGGACTTAGCCATTTTTGAATTTGTTCCCTAGTGCCTGACCCTGGAAATTAAGAGATGAAAAACATCCACTCTCTGCTCTCAAGAAGCTCTTAGCTAGTTGGGCACCAGTGGCTCACGCCTGTAATCCTGGCTACTCAGGAAGCTGAGATCTGAGGCTCAACAGTCCAAAGCCAGCCCAGGCAGGAAAGGCCATGAGACTCTTATCTCCAATAAACCACCAGAAAACCAGAAGAGGTGCTGTAGCCCAAGTGGTAGGGCACTAACCTTGAGCTGAAGAGCTCAGGGACAGCTCCCAAGCCTAGAGTTCAAGCCCCACGACTGACAAAAATTAAAATTAAAAAAGGAGTCTCAAGGACTTTTCTGCCTGGGAAGGCTTTAAACTGTGATCCTCAGATCTCAGGCTCTTGAGTAGCTAGGGTTAAAGGCGTGAGCCACCTGCACCCAGACCCCAAAGGCCAACTCTTTACCATGGTCTAGGAACCATCTAGGGCCGGTTCTGCAGGTATGACAAGCTTATCCCTATATGAGAACATAATGCACTATTTCCACTACAGGACTTTTGTGCATCATATCTTTTACCTGGAATACCCTTCCTCTAAATCTCCATCCTCATTCTTTTTAGATTTTTTAGCCTGGGAGATACAGGTGTGCAGATCTCTAAAGTTAATACAATTTGAGGGCCTGACTTCAAAGAGAAGACACAAGTCACAAATATAACAGTAGATGTAGGCCCTAGGAGGAGGTAGAGACTTAAGCATCATTGACTTTATGGTAGAGCTGTTTCTGGTTTCATTTGTTACTTCCTCTGAGAAGCCCCTTGCCCAGTTTGATTGTGCCCTATTCAGATTTCACTGTGATTATTTTAAATTTTCATATATTAAATTGATCACAATTTGAAATGGTCTTTTTTCTATTATTGTTATTGTTGTTGTTGTTGTTATTATTATTATTGAAACTGAGGATCAAACCTAGAGCCTGGTGCATCCTAGGCATTTACCACTGAATTATACTATCATTTCTCTCATTATTATTAATATTATTATTTTATGCTGGTATTGGGGTTTGAATTAAGGGCACAGTCCCTTAATTTTTTCCATTCTAGACCAGTACTCTACCTCTTGAGTCACAGCTTCACTTCTGGCTTTTTGCTGGTTAATTGGAGATAAGAGTTTCTTGGACTTGGGCTGGGAAGGTGGCTCAGTGGTAAGAGTGCTTGCCTTGCATGCATGAGGCCCTGGGTTCGATTCCTTAGCACCACATAAGCAGAAAAAGCCAGAAGTGGTGCTGTGGCTCAAGTGGTAGAGTGCTAGCCTTGAGCTGAAGAGCTGAGGGACAGCGCCCAGGCCCAAAGGTCAGACCCCACGACTGGCAAAAAAAAAAAAGAGTTTCTTGGACTTGCCTGCCTCAGCTGGCTTCGAACTGCAATTTTCCGATCTCAGCCTCCTGAGTAGCTAGAATTACAGGCATGAGTCACCTGCGCCCGGCTCTCTCTTGGCTTCTTATTTACCACAATCTATGTGTGATCTTCTAGGCACAGCCAGGGTGCTATGACCCACTGACCCTTCCAGCCCAGAGCAATGGAGCTAAATGACTCCTCCCGGGTGGATTCCGAGTTCCGATACACTCTCTTCCCCATCGTTTATGGCGTCATCTTTGTGCTGGGGGTGATCGCCAATGGCTACGTGCTCTGGGTCTTTGCTCGCCTCTACCCTTCTAAGAAACTAAATGAGATCAAGATCTTCATGGTGAACCTCACGGTCGCCGACCTGCTCTTCTTGATCACCCTGCCACTGTGGATCATCTACTATCACCACAAAGGAAACTGGATTCTACCCAAATTCCTGTGCAATGTGGCCGGCTGCTTCTTCTTTATCAATACCTACTGCTCCGTGGCCTTCTTGGGCGTGATCACCTATAATCGTTTCCAGGCGGTGACCCATCCCATCAAGACAGCTCAGGCCACCACTCGTAAACGGGGCATCTCTTTGTCCCTGGTCATCTGGGTGGCCATCCTGGCTGCTGCCTCCTACTACCTTGTCCAGGATGAGACCAACTCAGTACCCAATAAGGCCGGCACAGAAAACCTCACCCGCTGCTTTGAGCACTATGAGAAGGGCAACGTGTCAGTCCTGGTGATCCACATCTTCATCGTTTTCGCTTTCTTCCTGGTCTTCCTCATCATCCTGTCCTGCAATGTGGTGATCATCCGCACGCTGCTGGCGCAGCCCGTACAGCAGCACCGGACTGCGGAAGTCAAGCGCCGCGCGCTCTGGATGGTCTGCACTGTCTTGGGGGTCTTTATTATCTGCTTTGTGCCACACCACATGGTACAGCTGCCCTGGACCCTGGCTGAATTGGGCTACTACACCAGTTTCCATCAGGCCATTAATGACGCCCATCAGGTTACCCTCTGCCTTCTTAGCACAAATTGTGTCTTAGACCCCATCATCTACTGCTTCCTCACCAAGAAGTTTCGCAAACACCTCAGCGAAAAGTTGTACAGCATACGCAGCAGCCGCAAATGCTCCCGGGTCACCACGGACACCGACGTGGTCATGAGTCTCCACCAGATGCCTGTTCCTCCCCTCAAAAATTAGTTCCTGATGGTTGGGGTCAGGCCCGGAGTCTTCTCTCCCATGGATGTCACTGACTGGGCCAGGGGGAAGAGAGGGGGTCTGCGGTGATCGCTTCTTCCCTGACTCTAGTGGCCCAGGCTGGTGGTTCGGGCAGGGCTGATGGCTGTACCAGACTGCTGGAAAGGTCTAGAAGTAGGAGGTACTCCTTCACTGGGCACCTACTTTGCTAAAGCTGAGCCTGGTGGAGCTGCTGGCAGGAGAAGGAGCAGCAGAGCTGGGGCCTGACTCAGTTCTCCCCACTGGATCATAGCCTAAGCCTTTGGTAATGACTTCCGAGTGCTCTAGGTGGAGATGCTGGGTAGGGAGCGGAACTCTGCTGCCTTGGCTCATGGAAGGATCTGGAGGCAGCAGTTGGGTCTAGAACAGACCACGTGTTTCCACCCGTAGACACAAGGTGATGGTGACAATTGTCAGGGAGGTGGCTTGGTGGGATCTTTAGGTCACCCTGCAAGCTGTCTGGGAGGTAGACAGACAGACTGACCATAGGGATGGGAACTTGGCCTTCGAGGAAACTGTTGGTCTGCACAGGCCTCACCCCTGGCCTGGGACAGCTCTGAGGGAGCTGAGGGCAGCTCCCCGCTGCTAGGGGGCCAAAGGGGTACAAAGTAGATTTTAGGTTTGTCTAGGCCAAGACGTCTCCCTGGTAATAGGCCCTGGGCTGGATGTGCCTCCTGGAGACTGCTCCGTCTTTGGGAGACCCTCCTAACCCAGCGTCTAGGATGCAGGGGGATAGGTAGATACACAGCCCCAAAGTGGAAAGTGTTAGTTCCCCTTTAGGGTCCCTAGACACCTGTTTGTGACGTTTTATTTTTATTATTTTTTTAGTTCTGGGATTTGAACTCAGGGCCTTGCTCTAGGCAAGCACTCTATCACTTGAGCCATTGTCCAGCCCGTTTTGATTTAGTTGTTTAGCAGATAAGATCTCACACTTTCTAAGTTTGGCCTTAGATGGTCGGCCTCCTACCTATGCCTCCCACAGGACTAAGGTTAGTCTCTCTGTCTCTCCTGTAGCTGTTATTACAGATGCTTACCACCGAGGCTAGCTTGTTTATTGAGATGAGGTCTCATTAACTTTTTTAGGGGTCTTGAACTACAATCCTTCTGCTCTTTGCTTCCTGAATGGCTGGGATTACAGATGTGAGCCACCATGCCAGGCCCCACATACTTGAGATTGTTGGCAATTATTTTCAAATGAGATTCCTCTCTTGTTCTAAGACTAAAAGGCCCTACAGGCTTTTCCTCAGGGGCTGAGAGGTCTCTTCTCTAGCATTCAGATCCCCATACTCCTGAGAAATCTTCTCCTTTGCAACCAGTGTCCCCCGTGAATTTGGGAAATGCTTTTCCTGTATGCCAGACTAGCCAATGGCTTTAGTGTCACACAGACCTAAATTGAAGTCTTTGTCATTTTGTGTTCAGGGCCTGGACATTCAATTCTCTACCTCTTAGCGTTGTTAATTGTGAGGTAAAACCTATCGCCTGGGGTTATGAGCAGCAGATGTCCAGGGGTTGGGGTGACTGCTCATTCCAGGTCCTCCCTCCCCTCCCCCCCTCCCTCCCTTCCTCCTTCTCTCTCTCTCTCTCTCTCTCTGTGGGTCATGAGGTTTGAACTCTGGGCCTGGGCTCTGCCCCTCAGCTCAAGCCAAGCGCTCTACCACTTGAGTCATAGTGCCACTTCTGCTTTTCTGGTGGTTTATTGGAGATAAGAGTCTTACTTTCCTGCCTGGGCTGGCTTTGAACTGCAATCCTCAGATCTCAGCCTCCTGAGTAGCTAGGCTTACAGGCGTGAGCCACTGATGCCCGGCGATCCTCCCTATTTCTAAGAACTTAGCTCCTCAACCATCTGAGAAGAGCAAAAGAGAGGGACATCTAGGGTTAAGGGGCTTATTAGTGATGTGCAGACACATCCCCAAAGACACAAATTATGTGAATGTGTCCACCTATGTGTCAGTCTGTGCGTAGGGGTGGCTACCTGCAAGAATGTAGTAGAAGCCCGGGCACTGGGTTGCTCATGCCTGTAATCCTAGCTACTCAGGAGGCTGAGATAGCATTGTGATTCAAAGCCAGCTAGGGCAGGCAAGTGTGTGAGACTCTGATCTTCAGTTAACCATCAAAAAATGCCAGAAGTGGAGCTGTGGCTCAAGTGATAGATCACTACCCTCGAGCACAAAAGCTTAGGGACAGTGCCCAGACCCCGAGTTCCAGCCCCAGGACTGGCACGCGCGTACGCGCATGTGCACACACACACACACACACACACACACACACACACACACACACACACACACACACACACACACACACACACACACACACACAAATGTAGGGGAGAAAATGACCCTGCTCGGAGAGAGGGTATGCAGAGCAAAGTGAAACAAATCCATGGGGGCTGCAGGGAAGAAGGCCCCAGGCTTTGGGGCCGGCTGGCTTTCCTGTAGTCTTCCCAGGGTCCTGGGAGAGGCCCTGATCAAGACGCCATCTCTTCTCTTCCTAAGCTGATTCGAATGGCTAGGTATTACTTGCAACCTAAAAAAAAAAAAAAGCTGTATTTGTCTGACGCACAGCATTCATGAAGGTTGGTCATTTGCAGATCCCTTGTCATTTTTACAGTATCCGTGTATTGTGTATGTTGACTTAATAAATATTTTTTTAATTGAGTCTATTCAAAGATTTATATTTAGCCAAAAGGAAAACTTTAAAATGAAAACAAATACCACCGACCACAAGTAGAATGTAAGTATAAGCATGAAAGCATCTCTGTTAAAAATGCCTTGCGGGCTTGAGAAGGTGGCTCAGTGGTAGAGTGCTTGCCTTGCAACATGAGGCCCTGGGTTCGATTCCTCAGCACCACATAAGCAGAAAAAGCTGGGAGTGGTGCTGTAGCTCAAGTGTAGAGCACTCGCCTTGAACTGAAGAGCTGAGAGATAGCGCCCAGGCCCAGAGTTCAAGCCCCATTACTGACAAAATAAATAAATTTACAAAAATGCTTCACTACCACCAAAACAAATCCCTCCCGCCCCCCGCAGCTTTGAACTTTTTAGGCTGGAGGTGTAGCTCAAGCAATAGAGCCCCTGCCTAGCAAGTGAGAAGCCCTGAGTTCAAATCCCATATAGTGAAAAACAAAAACAAAACCTTCTTCCCTATGTGTTCTGTCTGAAGTTACCTCATCTGCTCCAGGGCCCTGCATAGATCACCTCCGGTCATCCTGTTATCATGAGTGTAATGTGCCAATGTCTGCATCTAGTAAGTGCTCAATAAACACTGACAGCCAGGCACCCATGATTGTAATCCTAGCTACATAGGAGGTTGAGACCTGAGGATTGCAGTTTGAAGTCAACCTGGGGAAGGAAAGTCCATGAGGCTCTTCTGTCCAAGTAACCAGCAAAAAGCCAGAAGTGTAGGTATGGCTTAAGTAGTAGAGTACCAGCCTTGAGTGAAAAAGCTAAGAGAGTGTGCCTAGGCCCTGAATTCAAGCCTCAGTACCAGTATGGGCAAATGCACACATACACACATACAGATATGCACAGAGTTGAGTCAGGAAAATCCTTTACCCACATGGGATTTTGGTGCATGTGGCTGTTGGGAGGTAAGGTGACCCAGTGAGCTAAGAATAAGTATCCTTTTTTTTCTTTTTCTTTTTGTCAGTCATGGGCTTGAACTCAAGGCCTGGGTGTTGTCCCTGAGCTTTTTTTGTGCTCAAGGTTATTTCTCTACCACTTTGAACCATAGTTCCACTTCCAGTTTTCTGGGGGTTAACGGGAGATAGGCTTTTCCTGCCTGGGCTGACTTCAAACTGCAGTCCTCAGATCTCAGCCTTCTAAGTAGGTAGGATTGCTGGTACAAGCCACTGGCACCCAGATATCAGTGTCCTTTTAGCCCACAGATGTTTGCTGGTCTGCCACATACTCCAGGGTCAAGTCAGGGAACTGAGGCCCTACCCCATGAATAGCCAAGGGCCCATGTGTGAAATTACAAGAAGTGGTTCTGTTTGCTGTGCGCTGTGCACAGGGCCTGCCTGGTTCCACTGTGAGCATCTGTTTCCCCTTTGTCGGCCACGTGGGGAGTGTTCACACCACAGGAATGAGCAAATGCTACAAACTGGGGATATTATCCTTTGACTCTCAGTTCTGCCTCTGTGTGATGCTGGGCAATCACTTCATGTTCTGAGACTCGGTTTCCTTATTTGTAAAATGAGCATAATCCTGTCTGTTCCTTTGATACTTAAGATAGGCATTCTTTTTTCATTTTATTTATGTATTTGTGTATGTATTAATTTATTTTGTCGGTCGTGGGGCTTGAACTCTGGGCCTGGGTGCTGTCCCTCAGCTCTTCAGCTCAAGGCTAGCACTCTACCACTTGAGCCAACAGTGCCATTTCCAGTTTTCTGAGTGGTTTATTGGAAGTGAGAGTCTCACAGACTTTTCCTGCCTGGGCTGGCTTTGAACTGTGATCCTCAGATCTCAGCCTCCTGAGTAGCTAAGGTTATAGGCGTGAGCCACCAGTGCCCGGCTCCTGTTTTTGTTGTTGTTTCTATGCTGGTACTAGGGCTTGAACTCAGGGCCTTGCTCTCTCACTGGGCTTTTTCCCTCAAGGCTGAAGCTCTACTACTTGAGCTATACCTCCACTTCCAGATTTGTGGTAGTTCACTGGGGATAGGAGTTTCACAAACTTGGGGCTGGGAAGGTGGCTCAGTGGTAGAGTGCTTGACTCACCTGCATGAGGCCCTGGGTTCAATTCCTCAGCACCACATAAGCAGAAAATGCCGGAAGTGGTGCTGTGGCTCAAGTGGTAGAGCGCTAGCCTTGAGCTGAAGAGCTGAAGGACAGCCCCCAAACCTTGAGTTCAGACCCCATGATCAACAACAACAAAAAAACGTTTCACAAACTTTCCTGCCCTGGCTAGCTCCTAATTTGGATCGTTAGACCTCAGCCTCCTGAGTTTCTAAGATTATAGATGTGAGCCACCATGTCCAGCTGTGGTGGCTTCTTGAGTCTGGGCTCCCAGAGAAACATCCTTGAGATGGTGACTTTGTCATTGGAGAGTGATGGAGGACACAGGATTTCGTGTCTGCAGTCCTGCATCTCACAGAAGATCAGTACTGCCTTCCAAGTCCCTGAGCAGGAGCGACTGTCCTGTTCGGTTTACTTTTCCTGTAGCTCAATTTGAGGGATCCCTTGGTGGGGACCATCTGGTTTTCATCTGGTGTTGGCAGTCTGTGAATTCCCCTCCATTAGCAAGGTAAGCCAGGCACTGTCTCAGGACCCATTGCTGCTTTTATCCTGCTTTGTTTGTTTCTTTGTAAATTCCCAGGTCTCACCAAAGTCCTTGTCATTTCTCCTTTCTTCCACTCTTTCCATTCTCAGAATCTGGTCACTTTTGTAACGCTGGATTCTTCTCATTTACCCAGCAAGCCTCCATCCATCTGCCATTTTACTCCTCTCATTGGGCATGGTTTTGCTGAAATGCTTCTGATAAATCCATGGGCTGGGTGGTCCTGATATAGTTTGGTAAGTTCACAGATAATAGTCCTTTATTTGCAGAAATAGATAATGTATCTGTCTACTTCATGGTTTGAGCTGGACAGTGTCAATCTGCCTTGGCATTTGCACTCAGAATGGAGCAAACAAATGATCTGGAAAGTGGAATCACTCAGGGAAGACACAGCCTGAAAGCTGTCACTCTTCACAATATGGTGCAACTTGGGGCAGGGCACAGTCTGATCTCCACAATGCAGCATGGCCATACATGGAAGAAACAGGGGGACCAGTGTCCTAAGGGTGTCTTCAGTAGTACTAACAAGAGCATCAGGATTAGATGTGGAAAACCAAAAGCATGGTCAAGAGGCCTGGCTGATCATTTCTTCAGGTCTGGGTCTAGAGCAATTTGACTCTCATCCTGAAATGAGTGCAGCCTCTAGTGCATCTTTTCTCTCTAATACATTAGGGGTCTGGGTTAAATTACAACCGCAGTACAATTTAACCCTCTTTGAAATAGGTACTGTTGGAACTGGGAAGGTGGCTTAATGGTAGAGTGCTTGCCTGGCACGCATGAAGCCCTAGGTTCAGTTTCTCAGCACCACATAAAACAGAAAAAGCTGGAAGTGACGCTGTGGCTCAAGTGCTAGAGTGCTAGCCTTGAGCACAGAGAGGCTCAGGGACAGTGCCCAGGCCCTGTGTTCAAGCCTTAGGATTAGCTAAACAAACAAACAAATAAATAAAACAGGTACTGTTCTCTCTTAGGATCTTCTTTTGTTTACTTGACAATTTTGCTCATTGTTGTTTAAATGATTTTTTTTTTTTTTGGTCGGTCATGGGGCTTGAACTCTGGGCTGGGCGCTGTCCCTCAGCTCTTCAGCTCAAGGGGAGCGCTCTACCATTTGAGCCTCAGTGCCACTTCCGGTATTGTGGTGGTTTATTGGAGATAAGAGTCTCATGGCCGGGCTGGTAAGGTGGCTCAGTGGTAGAGCGCTTGCCTTGCATGCATGAGGCCCTGGGTTCGATCCTCAGTACCACATAAGCAGAAAAGAAAAGCCGGAAGTGGCGCTGTGGCTCAAGTGGTAGAGCACTAGCCTT